CATGAACCATACATTTTTTGGTTTGTCGCATATATCTTTATCAAAGTGCAAAAGTTGATCTTGCTAGGAATAAAAATGTATTTTTAACAAATTTTTAACTGCGACCACTTTTATGTGCGAATCGCCGAAATGAAATGGTATGTAGAAAATAGGTGTACTTTGAGGGGGTGTGTGAGGCTGAATGTTGTTTTTATCACAAAATAACTTATGAACTTCTCTTAGTTGGAGATTTAGCTGTAACTTGACATCAAAACATCTAAGGTTCAAGACAGTCGATTTTTGTATTTTTGTCCACCTTCGCGGCACTGTGCAACGCCAAGGCGACTCGACAGCAACAAATCGCAAAATTATTGCCGACACAAGTTTTGAGAAGTGTCAAAATAACCAGAACGTGGCAAGGCTATGTAACAAGTCGTATGATTTGGGTGCATGCAATACAAGAGAATGAAATGGTCTCATAAGAAAGCGGCAAAGAAAACCACAAGCACCGGCGGGGGAGGAATTCTGCAAGATTGGGCGGTTTGGTAGTAATTTCATAGCTCCAAACATACAAATTCCGCTTCTGTGCAACCTATTTACATACATACATACATACATATGTACATGTGTAATGCATATGTCATACGAATGTAGATGCTTTCGGGCACTGCCGTCTTTGTATGATTGCGTCGAAATATCGCCCGATATGTGGTTACACATATCTACGTATTTACTCGTATAGCATACACTCATGTACATTTGTCCTCCAGGCCATGTACATTTGTCCTCCAGGCAGGCCGCCAGACAGTTTGTTTCCATTTCGAATTTGGTGAATTATTCACTAGAACACTCTGCCTTGCACCCACCCACGTAAACATAAACTCATTTGAGTATTTGCTATTGTGTTGCATGTGTGTTTGCCGAAATGCCTTTCAGGTCATGTATGTACATAAATATTATAATATTAAAACGACGTTATTTATTGTTTCACCTCATTCCTCACGAATTGCCATCCCCTTCGCCGCCTGCTTGGTGCTGCTGTTTAGTTAATGCATTTATGGTCCAACAGCTACCACACAACGCCAGACAGTGCTGTTTGCCAACATTGGTACGAATTTTGGTAGATCTTGGTCACTCCTAAAAATTAAAACATACGCAAATGTAAATATGAGCATTCTGCACTGCAATCCGCATTATTTCCATATTTAGCGTATCTGCCTGAAAATGGGCATACTTACATATATATATGTTTTCCACTGAATTTAGGGTATCTAAACCGCGATCCCAATGCAGCTGTCCTTTCACGATGTCATATGTTGATTCATCCAATATGTTTGGAATACACCTGCCAAATTCCTTTTTTTTCACTAACTTCTGTTATAACTCTTTAGGTAAAACTATATAATTTTACAATTTCAAGTTCTTGCTTCATAAGAAAATCGATCTTCCTAAAACTCAGAAACACTTCCGCCCCAATGCTGTTACCTGTAATCCTTCTGACATCCCTCCTCTGTGTAGGTAGGGGATCAGCAATTTTTTCACTAAACCACACATAGTAAAGTAAGTAGCGATTTTAAGGAAAACCATCTTTTAAAAATGTACATTTATGCATTTATATACTACATACATACACAGTAGTGGAGAATAAATAGGGACACGACATTTTAATAAAGTTTGCCTATTTTTCTTTTATTTCTTTAATATTTATTATTTTTGTATAAAAATATAGCTCATTGTATAACAAAAGACAATATAAATTCATAATTCAAACTTTGTGCAAATTTTATAAAAATTAGGCAAAGTTGCATCGAAATTTTCAACTCTTTAATCAGATTTTTCAGAATTTTTCTGAGTGTGCACTTTTACAGCCTATTAAATTAATAGAATAAAGTGTAAGTTTTCAGTTGCTAAAGAATCGCGTTGATTTTTTTTGCATTTTCTCTGAATCTATTACGTACTTTTTTCCATACGAAAAAAAAATTTTTGAACATACTTTGTGCCTCGGTTCGTAACGCTTGATTGTTAAATAAACGCTCAAGATGACCAAATTACAGTAAAATTAACTTTATTGTACACCAAACACTTTACAATACTCGTTAAAGCAATTAAAACACTTTACAAAACTTGCTAACAAAAGTGAAATTGTAGCTTGCTGATTCGCAACTGAATTTCTGGTGCGCTGTAGCAGCGGCCTTATATATCTGTGCTCGCACTCATGGCAACTCTAGAACGTTCTGCTGTCTATCAGACATTCTCTCATTCAAATTATTTCATATTTTAACAATCTATTCGAAATTTGAGTTCAGAAAACCACTGAAAAGTCACTAGGCACTGAAACGTCTTTTTTCTGAGTTTTAATTTTCAAAAAGCACTAAATGTAGTGCTTACGGCACCAAGTTGGCAACTATGCTTATTGTTATTCGACCATTGATCGTGTTTTAACGATCGTAATCACTACACGATGTTCATTGGGCTGTGTGACCATGAGGTAGGTAGGTACTCCTTGAAGTAAACCCTTGGAATAGTTTTGTGCTACTCTGATTTAAGGCCGAGCTGGAGTACAGTGAAACCTCCCTTGGGCGGACACTCACCGTCAGTCATTTTTTGTCCGCCCAAGAGAGGTGTCCGCTTAATGGAGGGGAAGCCTGTTTTAGAACTTTTTAATGTTTTAATTAATTGAATAGTCACTATTTCTTATTTGAATAAAAGATATTGATATTACATCGTTCAAACAAAATGTGCATGTATTTTTTCAAAAATGCACATTTCATTTATGTGCGAAAGTACATATTAAGTAATAAACTACATAAAACCATAGATTCATTACATAAAAAACTGGGAAATTGTCGATTGACGTAAATTTTATTTTTAATTTTTTTCAGTGTCAGTACCTTTTTCATCAATAGTTTTCATGTTTTTATCAGTCTCCAAGGGTTTCTGACAATTCAAATAACGAACCTAAACCACTGCGCAAACCAAACTAAATGTGTGCATAACAATCACATTTTGTGCGGGAAGTCCCCTTTTTCCATTTAGTAGTCCGCCTATGAGGAGTTCGCGTCCGCTCCACGGAGGTTTTTGTTTGATTTGTTATGAAAAGAAATCTTAATGTCCGTTAATAAGAAGTTCGCGTCCGCCCAATAGAGTTTTTGTGTCAATTTTATGCAAAATAACTGTCCGCGTCCGGCCAAGAGAGTGTCCGCTTAAGAGAGAGTAATTTGTTCCGAAATTTCTACTTAAAACTTGGTATAGGAAAAAATGTCCGCCCAAGGGAGATGTCCGTCTAATAGAGGTGTCCGTTAGGAGAGGTTTCACTGTATTTGGTCCTGCCCTAGGGCATCCCAATGTTAATTGGACCACATGTTCTAAATGAATTTGGGTTAATTTTGGAGTAATCCCTTACCCTTAGGGAGTACTCTTTACACGCGTGCTTGGAGTAGTCGCAATATTTGCAGGGCTCTTGCATATGATATTTAAATACATACATAGTCAATATAGTATCAATTTTTCATTACCATGTAGCAATTGTACTCGTATTATTATGAAACTCTTTTCTACGAGTTTTTAAACCACTAATATTTACTTAGTGGGAACTTTGTCAGCTCCCCTATCACTAGGCCTGCAGTGGAAAGCCTTTTGGACTCCCACTAAAAAAAATTGTGGTAGTGAGAACATTGGCTTTTTCCACTAAAAAAGTCTTTTCATAAAACCACCCAGCTCCAGTATCGCTATCGTAGTGTTAGTTAATAGCGTAATGCCCAAGGCCTCAAAATTTTGAGGATATATAAATGAAAAAATATATAAATGACAAATTTGAAGGAAATTGGAACACAAAATCGTTAATATCGATATTTCTTGAGATATTGGGCTTTGAAGTTGAGTTATTGTGGAATTTTTATAGATTATTAAGCTAAATTGTAAAAATTGGTGATCAACTTCAAAGTCCAATATCTCAAGAAATGTGGATACTAGCGATTTGGTGATGTAGAGCCTTTTTGTAGGAAATTCAATGTCCTACAAGTTTGTGATTTATATTTTTTTCGTGGCTCTTGTTATTTTCGAGATAGAGGCAAAAAAAAGAGAATTTCATGAAAAAATTGGGTTTATTGACCCGTACTACCTCACTGGTGGGAGTTAGGATTACACCGCAATGAGATCTTTTGTAGTGCATTCAATTCTGAAGAAACCCCATCATTGACCAAGATTGTGTACCATAAAATGCCTCTGAGCTGTAGACTTTTGAGTAAAATAGTCATTGTATTTTATATGGGAAATCTTTGCACGCCTTGAGCGAATACTTAACGCTAATATTAAGGGTTCAAATTTTCAGGGAGTCTTTTTAGGTTTTTTCCACAAATAGTCGCAAAAAAGCACCCTAATATGTATACATAAATACTTATACATATGTATGCATGTAAATGTGGATATTATTTTATGGTCCTATAGCTGAGACTTTTGGCAAAGCATAATCGGTATGAAAGTATAAAATAAAGGTTGTGATTTTAATTTCGCTACAACTTAATCTTGTTTTTAACTTAACTTTATAATGCTATAATGCATGGCAACATACATATGTACATATGTATAAAGTAAGTATATAAATATGTACGTTAGTGCATTCCTACCTCTCTAAAAATAATTTATATCACCGTCATGGAAATGTGGTTCCAATTGGCAAACAGAAACGAGAACCTTGAAATAACTATAATCCGGGTTTAGTACTATGTTTTATGCACTACAACAATTTTTTGGATTTTTAGGCGCAGTTTTTTTCCTCATTTCGTTTACATATTGCTTAAATAAAAGCTCTACGATTTCTTGCGCTAGGTCAGTCTCGAAATCAGCTGATCTTACGGCGCAAGTGATACGTAAAATAAACGGTGTTATCTTGTGTTCATACAACGGGTTTTTACGGATTACAGATGAACTGCTGTACATACATATGTACATAATAAGGAATGTATCAAAAAATATCGAAATATTTAGTATATAAACCAGAAGAGCGAGCGAACTTCATCAGAATCATTTTTAACTCTCAACAGAACAAAGATCTATTCAGTGAACATGGTGCGCACAGTTTTCCGAGTTTTTGCATTGATGTTGGTTGTCATGGTAAGAAAATTTTTTTGCCTACTGGAAATTATAAACATTCGAATGTCACTACTTAATTAATTCTTCTTTTTAGACATTCTTTGTAGCAGCAACTGTAAGTATGCCTTTCAAGCTTTAGATCCATTTACAAATAGTTAAACTTTCTTTAGCCACAATTGCCATGGGGTGTACCTGCCATTAGACCAACAATCAGTACTGAGAATATCGAAGGCCTACAGGGCACCTGTCCTGAGCCCACAGAAGAATTGAAGGCGGTAAGTTTTTATGGGTCGACAACTAAGAAAGTAGCGCATGGTATAGTGTAGTAGAGGCACATAGCGTAGAGTTCTCAGTATCATTAAGAAAGGAGCGCACCATAAAGTTTCTGGCACAGATGGTTTAAATTAATCTCTCCTTCATAGACAGTAACAAAGAGCAAAGGCCGTAAGCAGCCTTAAAATAGCAATTTTGCACCGTCGAGCTTTATATTCCTTAGGAAACTGATGTATTTTTTTTTATCGAATGCTGACATTTTTCACAGAGTTGCTATACTCATAGTTTTTATGTTTTGTAATACCCAAATACCCACAACGAGCCAGTGGAGGCCAACAAATTATGTAGTTGAAAATCTACTACTTTCCAATAACAATTTCAGATGCCTTAGCTTCATATTTAACATATTTAACAGAAATTGTTCTATATTTTCAAGACAAGAATAAAGAAATTTTTTTAATTTATGATCATCATTTTTTTTATATGTACCGAACTTGTCTACTTAGAAACAAAGGCATTTATGTATCCTCTTATAGAGATTTACTTCGAGAAATTTTAATATACACATCTTTATTCCACAGTGCATACGCCAATGGGGTTGTCAAGAATTGCTACGTCTGGATCTGCGGTAAGTAATAAATTATGTCTAATAGCCCGAACACAATGAAAACGACGAGCTACAAACCACACAGCTGTCAAATTATTTTAACACGTGCTTTTATGTAGATAATTATTTTGGCGACGACCGGGCTACGCGACGGCTGTGGTTGTGGCCAGATTAGATCTGTTTCTATTTTTCTGGCGACAGATAAGGTTCTTTCTCTTCTTTTATGTCAAACTCATACAAATTCATGATGTCGCTGCCGCGTTCAAAGAAATCATGTCGCCATCGACAAAGCGTTTAGATAATGAAGATGATAAATTGGAAGCTGTGGTCCGTAGCTCGTCGTTTTCAATGTGTTCAGAACTTAATGGATGAAACAAAAAATATTATGCCGAGTTTCCATTAGGCTTTGAAATTACAATAATGTCAAAAAATTCCCAAATGTCACAGGAAACGGACAGATTGTCATTTGGGTAATTACGGGATATTTAATACCTAGTTTTGTCATTAAAATCTCTGTCAATTCAATGTCAAGTGGAAATCCGCCATAAGAGCCGTTCTCGCAATGCGAGCTAACTCATCTTTGGCCGTTAATTTATAACGTGAGTTAACTTGCCACTCTGAAACCGCATCTAAATATTAATTTTTATTAACTAGTTATAAAAGCGATAATCATTGCAGTACATTTGTGACTAATTTTTATATATATTTCTTCTCTTTTTAGTTGCCTGATAAACTTGAATGGTATCCCGCTAGTTGGCAATGTTTTGGGTGGTTTATTGGGTGGACTTGGTGGACAGTCTCCAAGGCCAGGTGGCGCACAAGGCGGCTTGTTAGGAGGCTTGTTAGGAGGTTCTGGTGGCTTGTTAGGAGGTTCTGGTGGCTTGTTAGGAGGTTCTGGTGGCCTACTGGGATCACTATTGGGTTGATCACACACGTATCTACATATATACACTTAGAATTAAGTTTAAGCTTTCGCTATATTAAATATTCAACGAGAATCAAAAAAATGCATAATACGTATATATATTATATATACAAAATTATTTAAATTTGTGTTTTTCATGACCTTTCGGGCGTTCAATTTTATAATAGTGTGGAAATTAAAAAGTTTTATTGAAACTTATGTGTCTGTGTGCGCATAGCAGTAGCTGATGCAATGAAAGCGTTAATATTCTACTTCGCCCGAATTTCGAGATAGCACCTTCGTTGTTGTTATTGCCAGCAGCGGTAACCCTCTAATTAAAGTTTACACTGTGTCAGCCATTACAAAAGGATCAAAAAGTGATAACCATATCAGTGCAGCGGTATCGCATCGCAACGTTGTGCAGACAACGGTGAAATCGTTTCCAAAATTCGGTTATTACCATTGAGGCCATTTCGCTAATTTTCGTATATTACAAAGGAAGCACTGATACTTGCAGCCATTGGAAACGAAATTGCATTAGCAATCTTTAAAACTGCCTAAGGCGCAGGAACGCATTGGGAGCACCGTTGGAAAATTTATATTTAATTTTTTACCTAACAAGTAAAGAAGTATAAGTTCGGGCGAAGCCGAAATTTATATACCCGGCGCACGTAGTAAATATCGTTTTTTCCCCTTTCAGTAAACTGTATGAAAAGCAGAAATATTTTTCCAGATGTCAAACAATTTCGATAATATGCTATGAGATATTGAAATAATGGGAGCAGGTTTGGTGGAAATCGATAAAAGGGCTATCAATATACACTTATGAATGTAGTCATAAGTGGGTGGTGCCACGCCCATTTTACAAAAACCAATAATTTTGTGTTAAGAGATTGGTGTAAGTTGGTGGAATTGTCGTATTTCTGAAATTTACCATTATATGATAGGTGACGGTAATTTTAGTCCGATTTAAAAAATTTTCAATATATCGCTTTTTTGAGCCAAGGTTGATAAATGTACCGAGTTTGGTAGAAATTGATTAATCGGTTACCGAAATACACATATATATAATATGGGCGCCCATTTTCCTAACTAGCATTTTCTGCTGAGAGGTTATTGTAGTGTATCGCTTTTGAGTAAATTAATTTAAATAGGTACTAATTTATAGCAGTTTTCGCATTTCTGTAAATTACCGTTATATGGGAGGTGGGCGTGGTTCTTGTCTGAATTCAAAAATTTTCAAAGGGTTTCTTAGTGAGACTCTCAGCAATGTTCGTACCGAGTTTGGTGGGGATTGGTGAAGGGACTACAGAGATACAGTATTTAATCATAAGTGGGCGGTGCCGTGCCCATTTTCAAAAAAATTCATAACCTTCTTTTTTTATGCCAAAATTCAACTTCGCCTACCAACTTCCAACGAATTGGATCCAGTATTTACGTAAACATCGTAGTTTTTGCATATTTCGAAAATATCGTTACATGGGAGGGGGCGCGGTTATTGTCCGATGTCGGCCCTTTTCAATCCCAACCTACCTTGCATAAAAGCATAAATTTTTTCTCGAGTTATCATGTACACAGACAGACAGATGGACAGACGGACGGACGGACGGAAGGACAGACATGGCTTAATCGATTTATCTGTTCATTCTGAGCATTTATGTATACATTTGTCTATATCTATCTCTACTCGTTTTGGTTGTTACAAACAACCGTTATGTGAACAAAGTTATAATACCCTTGTGCATAAGTGCGCTCGGGTATAAAAATCATATGTGTTTTAGCTTGAAACAAGGAGAATGTGGTTAATTTGTTTTCTTAGTGCAGGAGTTCGTCCTGATCGTGGATCATTCTGTAAGTCGCCTAGCGGTACTTTATCGTTCGGCGGCATCTATTTTTCTGCAGCTAAATACGTGAGATTCCTCATCGTACCAGTTGTTCTTTCAGACTCGCTGAAATCCGACTATTTCTTCGGTGCCGGTACTTGAATGAGCGGGAAATGTGGTTCCTCTGCTCTTTTTATGTTGCGCGACCCAAACCCAGCGTACACGAGGTTTCTGGCCTCCTCAACTTTAATTCGCTCCCAAACAGGTCGCTTCCCAGAGAATACGTTGACATAAATATCCGGACGTTATGCGCTGAGTTTGGGACTGCCGCCCCGCTTCCAATGGAAGTTATAGTAACGCCGCGGATGAGATGCTCTCCTTTTGGTAACGACTACGGCAAACGTTTCAAGGTCTGAAATTTGAGGACATACCCCTGGAGTTTCCGGATGCCTAATGCGGGTTGATGCTTTACAACGATATGGACATAGTGCAGTGAATTAAAATGCAGCGGCTCCGCTGGCTTGGTCATGTCGTTCGAATGGACACCGACGCTCCAGCTCTGAAAGTATTCAACTCGGAACCCGCTGGTGGTAGCAGAGGGAGAGGAAGGCCCCCACTGCGATGGAAAGATCAGGTGGAGAAGGACTTGGCTTCACTTGGACGCGTTTCCAATTGGCGTCAGTTGGCACAGAGGAGAAACGACTGGCGTGCTTTGCTGAACTCGGCCAAAATCGCTTAAGCGGTTACAGCGCCAAAAAAGGCAAAAGAAGAAAAAGAATGCGGGTTGATGTCCTCAGAACTACATAGCTGTGATGTAAAGCAGGAAAAGTTCGATGTTGGGGTTGTGGTGGAAGAGGCTTCGTCGCCGAGCGCTGTCGTGCATCGCAGTGGGTTCCATAGCCTCTTGGAACGCACTTACGAGCGCTACCCCCGTCACAATATAAATATTATTCTAGGCAATTAGCGCGGAAGGAGCTGTTTATGCGCCGAGGTTTCTGAATTTGGCAGCCCTGCGAAACTAATGCGTGTGCGCAAAATGGCGTTGTTCTATACGACCAGCACTAGCGACTTAAATCCAACGCTGGAGAATATAATAAGAGCTGCAGAATTGTATCGCGTATGTAAAAACTTTTACAAGAGAATCAATATTTTGCGGTGAGGTGTATGAGATTTACAACTCCGTAGACATACATATGTATATTAATAGTACAGCAAATTATAATATACAGCGGCTTTGACGTACCACTGCTTTAAAATTATATTTATGATGGCCAAACTTGCCTCTTCATTTCCTTAAAACTATAAATTTGAAAAATTTCCTTAACTGAAAAGTCTAGAGCATGCCTTTAAACAAGACAAAAGTCTTTCGTAAGATAGTTGTGACGCCAATAAAGGCCTTCCGCACATTGCCGTAATTGGGAATGCGGGTTCGACTCGGCAGATGACTAATGCATTTGATGCGGACCCTCATTGCCTCTGGCACTGGAGCCAATGCTCATGGGTATGAGGAGAGGGGTAGAACCATTGTGATTGAATGCCTCTCGCAAGCTAACTGGGGAAGGCTCAAGGCTGTGGTGCAAAAATACAGCGAACAAGGGGAACAGGCTTCACTCTTTAGAGTAGAGTAAAAAAACGGACTGGCCCTGTTTTAGGGAGGAGCTTGGGAACCAAACCACGACGGCATCTAGGACACGATGCACTCAAGCCATTGATGAGGCAGAAGTTGATTTAACCGCTACCTTACGTCCTAGTCCCACCTCTTAGCAGTACGCCTGTTCCCTGGGGGAACAAGGGGCTTCATAAGTTGAGGGGTGAATCGGAAAAACGTCTAAACCGGGTCCTCAAAACAATTTTAGTGATGAACTGGGAATTCTTTCGCTGCACGCAAACATAACAAAACAGGCGAATATGCTCTGCGAAGAGGGCTCCTTCAAAGAATACTGCCGCGGGATGGATGCCTTGGGTCAAACTACTAGGCTGGTAAAAGCTCTGAAGAAGGACCAATCCACATCGTTGGGATCACTCAAGAAGGCTGATGGCTCTTTAACGTAGACTATGATTGAGACTCTCTCTGTTCTTTTAGAGACTCACTTTCCTGCGTCAAGGTACAACTGGTTTATTTCCAGAACTGTGGCGAATGAACATGCCATAAGATATGCTATTGAGTCTTTTGACTATGTGGTGACTATCACATAGCCGGAAACAATCTTATGTCGCTGTTAGATGTAAAGAAGTTTATTCAATACGTTTAGATTACAACACTGTTTGCTTATAATGTTATCGATAAGATAATGAACCGATAGCAATGTCATGTTATCTCTGACAAATACTCTTCCCTTTTTCCTGAAATTTGGCCACGAGCACACGTGTAATTAGCGAACTTAAAATGACCAATAAATAAACCAGTTGTATGTTAAGGTATTTAATTGGGCTTTCATTTGAGGCAAAGGATACCGCAACCATAATACGTAAAGAAGGTGCTCAGCTTTTGTTGGAGACCTTGAAAAAGATTTTCACAGTGTCGATTGCATTTGCCCACAACCTACGAGAGCGGTGGTTGTCGCCTTTATAACCTAAGTTGGTAAGGATGACTATACTAGCCCCAGAAGCTACAGACCTGTTAGCATGACATCCTTTATGGTAAAATGTCGGGAAAGGTTGGTAGAGTTGCGCATTCGTAGGAAGGCGCGCTCATCACTTTCACTGTTTATGCATCAACATGCCTATCAGGCGGGGAAGTCCTATGAGACGGCTTTGCAAAATCTGGTGGCCAGAATTAGCAATGCAATCAGTAGAAAATAATTTGCTTTAGGCATTTTTGTAGACATTGAGGGTGCTCTTGACAATGCCACCATCGACAGCATGTGCAATTCTGCTCTACGGCATGAAGTAGATTCTGTACTGGTAAATTGGATTCGTTCAATGCTGGCGCAGCGGGTCATCAGGATTCAGGCAGAAGGAGGTCAATATGTCACGTGCGGAGTTAACAGGCGATGTCATCAAGGTGGTGGGCTTTCCCTTTTGCTCTGGTTTCTGGTAGTTTCTGATCACGGGCCCATCGCTGCCGTCTATTTGCAGGAAAGCGCATACAATACTGAATATGTATCTTTTTTGTCCGATCAGTTTAAATTTATTTTATTTTATGTTCGTAGGCTAGTCTGATCTTTTGAGTTTTGATGCAAATAAAACACTTGGTGCGATGTAAATGGACTCACCACTAGCCCAACCAAAATTAATGTTCTGCACTTCACTGGAAACACTGGAAACCTGAAGTGAAGTATCTAGGAGTAATTCTTTTTACAAAACTATCTGGAAA